AACATTCCCAAGGACCTTTTGGGTCCTCCACTTCGCACTCCACCATCCACTCCTGCAAAACCGTCAATCCCAAAGCCTCCTTCCAATCCACCGTCAGTACCGGTGAAAGAGGCCCCAGCATCACCACCTCCACCACCTGCACCAAATGATGCACCAACGGCCGGCTTATCCCCGGCTTCAAAACCACGTCCAGCAAAACCTTCACCTCCGAAGGTCCCACCAACAAAGGTGCCTCCTCCAAAGGTTCCTCCACCGAAAGTGCCACCCAATACAGCCAGTGGCATTCCGGTACATACAAGGCCGACAGATTTCAATCTCACGCCGAAGCCGCTGCCGCTTACAGACCTTTACAGTCGGCTGCAACCTTCCGTAAAAGGAAAGGGCAAGGATAAGCAGCAGGTGAGTGTTCGAGGAGGACCTTATGCTCCACAGCAATGGAATGTACAAAACGTGCCACCGCCGCCATTGCCACCCGGAACTTCATCCGCTTCGGCATCATCGTCACATAATGCACCCTTAACTGGGCCGCCGACTTCCAGCATTCGTGGAACTATTGATCGACCATTGGAACCCTTTGATTTTCCTGGAGTACAATGGCAACGCGATGACCCATGGGGCGAGAACTATTGGCCCAATCACATGGAATTGTGGGAGTGGTTGAGGCAGGGATGGCATGACGAGACGGAGCGTTTTGGAATACAATTTCTTTAAGCAGATGTTGAATAGCTACCATAAATGGTATGCCTTGCAGCTTATGAGTGTTGAGATAAAGATCACCTTCTGACGGGCTGTGAGATGATGTTTCACTTCATTGTCTCACTTCCCAATGCATCCATAACAGGATTGCCATAGTCGGAGAGTGAACTTTTAATCAATGCTTAACACTAACCTGGGCCTAGCATGTTTAACCACATGCCGAGTGAGGCGAAAACTGTACATTAGGGTAGCTACGTTCTCCTTGTATAGTGCATGCACGAGCTTGATGAGGGATTTCTAATATGATTCCTTCGTCGCTAGAATTTGATCCTCCCCGAGATTTTCCCTACGGGTAGCTCCTTGTAAAGGGGGGTGTTGAAATTCACCTCATCCCCATGGACCCCGTAGCGTTGACTCTCAAGGTAGAGCAAAAGGTAGCGCTTACCGGGCTAGCAGGGTTAGCTAGGTAGTTTGTACTATTAGAGCTGATCCTGTAAAATACAAAACCCATCCCATTGAATCCATCGACGCAGAGAAAATCTGAGCATTGTTCAAAACCTAGGTGTTCATATTTAGTAAGGACATGTTCATAAGGACACTGTGTGCAAGCAAAAACCTGAATTGCGTAAGGTTGCGTAAGCATTTTTTGGCTGTAGTGCTTGTGTAAGCAAAGTGCGTAAGCTTGACTTCTCCATGTATTTGCATGTGTGCTTGCTTCAATTTTCAAGTATTGGGATACTGGGAAACCAATCAATACCAATCAGATGTGTTGAGACATGTTTGTGTGAGGAACCTATTGCACGTAAGCTCCGCGTAAGCTCATGTTGTGGTGTGGTGGATAAAGTTTGCCCGTATCTGTTTGCGTAAGCTCCGCGTAAGCGCTTCATGTCCCCTGCATGGCGCGTAAGCTGGCTTACGTGAGTCGCGTAGGCAAAGCGCAGTTGCGTGTGCGTAAGCAGCTCCTTATGAAACTTCATAACTTCGCTTCAAAGACAGGTTTTCAACAACGCTCACCTCGAACTCTGCCGAGGCCATGGCTCGTGCCCTGTCCATCGCTTTGCTTTGCATCGCTGCATCGTTCCTCAGCACCGTCCTCGGCAGGGCACGGGCGTGTCCGGATGAACGAACGAAGGATTGGTCGAGTTTCATGCTCCTAATATTGGTTGTAGGTTTATATAGCAATAGGATGCAATAGGTCTCCTAATATGGTTTCACCCATTGGATGTTCGAGATTCCAATAGGTCTATATATAGGATTCACGCTCTTCGGTCGGCATGTATCTATTGCAGAGCCGCGGACCACGATGTGCGGCCATGGGTGGTTGCTGGATGTTTGGGCATGAGTCATTGCTGATTGCAGATAGCACACCTCAGCAACTTGATCCTTATGGAGGGCCCAGATCTGGCCTAGTGAGGTGAGATATGTCATTTCACTGTATTCGATGGGGTTGTTCTTAAACAGGGAAAGGCCGTGGACATCAAACTCTTGGGGATGGCTTGTCACATCTTGAGAGCAAAGCGTTTTTCACAGTTGGGCATTGTTGGACCCATGAAACACCCCAGTACTTGTATGGCAAAAGATCCACCCACCAGTGGCTGGGCATCCTCTTCTTTCTCTACATCCACTGCTGAGATGGCTGGTTTTAGCCACATCACCCCATCAAGACCTTGAGACTCTCACCTCCCTGCTCGTTCCGTCGCTTCGACGTCGACGTTCAACCCGTTTCCGTCGCGACGTCTGAGGCTCAGCGTTCGTAGCTTTGCCTGGCACTGCAACAGAGGCCCGGAGCGAAGTGGCCGATGTTTCTGTGATCCGGTGAACCGGCTGAGCTTCACACGGCGTCGGCGTCTCACGTCGTCTCAGCGGCGGCGGGTTCGGTGGTTCCCACGTCAGGGAGCAGCCGCACTGCGGGGTGCACCGGTGGGGCACCGAGAGCGAGCGCTGAGTCGACCCGGTTGGAGACGGAAACCGTGGAGCGGTCTGCGGGGTGGAGCTGAGGTGCGGTCTTTGCTGGCGGTCTCCGGCGGCCTTGTGGCGTCAGTGCCAGGGCAAGCGCAGGAGTGGTCAGCTGTAGTTGTAGCGATTGGGTTGGGAAAGCCATCCAAAACTACTGTCAGTTGAGGACAGAAGAAGCCACTGGTTAGGAGGTTTCCCGACCTCCTAATTCACTGACCAAAGCACTCTTCCACCCCTTCGAACTCGCGAGGCATTCTCAGAGACGGAGCTGAACCAGTTTGGCCTGCTCGAAGCTCAGGCATGTTAAAAAGCAATGACGCAGGCCAAGGTGGTGAATTCTGCTGCGAATCACAGTTGGTACTGAGGGTCTTTGCCATCTTCTTCTTGGGATTCTTCGTTGCCCGATTCCCCAGTATCTATGTAGTGGGCAGCTTTCCAACTCCAGAAATGATGGTGGATGCCTTGAACAAAGCATCATGAGTAGCAATGGCTGGGTTCTTCGGTGATGCACACTTTCAGTGCATCTTATATCATTTTGTTATACTTTATGACATTTTATTACAGTATGCATTCAGGATGATCTGACCAGAACATGTTGAATGTGATGAGTACCCCCTTCTGGTGAGTTCAAGGTCTTGGACAAAAACAAACATGACACACATAAAGACATGCTTACCATGGTTAAAAAAGGCTTGCTGGATGGCCGGAGGCCGTAAAGATCAGTGAGATCTCTATTGCTTGAGTCAGTTGGCATGGCAAGACCCGTAACGGTCTCGCCATTGATCCATCTCAAGTAGATTCCAGAAAATGCGCGTTATCGCGACTGGCCCTTTGCTTCTGTGGTCGGGCGTTGCCTTAGTCGGCTCAGTGATCTCAGGCAGGGCTGGTGCGCATGTTCACGGTTGGCAAGCTCTAAGGCTGGCAGAAGGGAATAAGGCCTGGAAGGATACAGCAGGAGTTGTTCCATTTTTGGCCAGGGGGTCCCCCTAATCTGCAGGAGAACATCGTCACCATTGGCATGTTCGACCTGATCCGGGGAAAACAGCACACAGCATGGAACTTGTATCGGTGCAGAGCTTCTCATCGCTGACAGCCGAAAGACCAGCGACCATGATCTTAGTCATGGAAAACAAAGCTCATCCCCCCCGTACGGGATACATCTCCGATCCCATAAACCTCACATGTCTATCTCTTGAGCCCCATCCAGACCTTGGATGCTCAGAGAAGCACACATCCGCTTGGTGGGAATCCTCCAGTTGAACATCAAATGTGCAAACCTCTCAATCTGAATTCAGTGGAAGAAAGAGGAAAAAAGACAACACGCCTTCTTCAGGCGGGAGATGGACGTATGGATACGTATGGTCCATCTCGCTTCTGGTCCCCATCTCGGTTCACCTTCTCCGACCTGTCCCGCCCCCCGATCCACCGGCCGCGAGGTCGGAAACGCCGGCCGCCGGGCGCCTCTCTTTTTTTTGGGTCGCCGAGCTGGCACAAAAGGGTGACCGCGCCTTTCCGGCCGGTCGCGCGCTGAAACCGGTGGGGGCGGAGGGTGGATCATCAGTTCCCATTGAGCATCGTTTTGATATATAATCTCCCACTGGCTTTACACTCATGTCTCCTTTCTTTTGTCGCTCATTTCATCTCATTTCTGGGTGGCAAAGCTGCTGAAACTTTCCTGCTCCCCATTGTTGAACTGGCAAATCCATCAAGAAGGTCGCTTTCGAAACGAGGGCCTTCCTGCCTCCCTGGTACATACTGTTTGATTCCAAGAACTTGATGTTTCATGGACGGAATTGCAGGCTCCGAGCCGTGTGTGGCCGGGGCTGTGGTGCACAAGCAGCAGCAAGTAGAGATCAGTTGGCAGTCAAAACACGTGTGAAACATCGGCAAATTGAGGCGACTTTCACCTATAGTCTATCTGCCCGAGACTCCAATCCTTGCTCAGGACAGCTGAAACGATCAATTCCGTGGCCATTCGGCTCCGGGCGGGTCCGCTGCCCACGCAGTCGTGGCGATCGCGCCATGTGTCAGAAATGGTTCGAGATCCCCAAGAATCTCATCGGAACTAGCTGAGTAGGTGCCAGAAGCGCCCTGCAAAACAACAGACACGTCCTTCAGGAGATCCGGTCATCAGTTCAACACCCTGAACCTGAAGCTACCGTGGCTTTTGCAGATCTGTTTAAGTTTATCCATGTTTATCCCTTGATGTTCATCCCTTCTTGATGATATCCCTAGGGCTCCAAGCACCTCCTCAGAAGGTATTTGGACCCTCTAAACCCACCCCAGTCCCACCTTCTCAGAAGGTACTTGGAGCACTAGGGTATGCATATTTATATAACAGTGTTCGTCACACGACCACGTCGAATTGGACCACCCATGGCCACCTGGTGGGTCCTGGCCGCCTGTGCTGCTCAATCCTTGGCTCGCACTCCGAGCTTCGGGAATGACTGGCCGCTGCGGCAGGTGGGGATGGGAGGTGGAGCCCACCGGCAGGTGCTGGCCCCCACCGGCAGGTGCTGGCCGGTGGGTTTGGAATGAGTACAAAAGGAGAACGAGCACATACGAGCACATGTTCCCTTTCTCGGATACCAGGGTAGGGTCCACAAGTGATGGGAAAACAATTATGACTGTCAGGGAGGTTACTGAGGTTATCAGTGTGCTCTCTGATGGCTCGACTCGACATTTGGTCCAGTGCGAAGGCCACGGAAGGTGTTTCCGTGTCTGGCAGTGGCATGTTCCTGTTTCATCCTCTTTCGTGATATGGAACACATCATGCATAGCGGGCATAGCGTGTTGACATGTTTGGCACTCTCAGGTGATTGTTCATGGGGAGGCATACCAACCTCCTCCGTGAGATGAACCCCACAATGTTTGATGAACACAGGATGTGTAGCATCTGATTTGCAAATTTACAGTTAACAGATGAGATAGACTCCCTGGAATGTGCCATGGACGTAGAGTTCAACATAGTTCAACCCTGTTTGGTATTTGGATTCCATGGTCTTCCAAGGGCCCTGAGGCCCTCCACTTCCATGTGAGTTCCTGGTGTATTAAGCGTTACTGTTCCTTCAGCTTCGGACAGCAACGCGGCCGTCTGACGTGTTCGTGGAATTCGACGGTTTACTTTGGTCACCGGGGGCCCCAATCGGGCGAGCAATGAGACCAATTGGTCAACTTGCAAAAGCCTTTTGGGTGGTCGGTTTCTCCACTGAACATCAATGAGGTGGGACTAGGTACTCGTAAGCTCAATGGGAGAGTCAAGGATACTGTCATGGGTGAATTCTGTCAGCAAAAAGATGGATGACGTATTGGCGAATTCGATACATGGCAAAAACAACACAAATCTACATGTCACATCACGTCACCAAACAGTGGCTCTATCAAGGTATTTGGGTGACCCATGACTTTTCGCCCACGCAGTGTTTTTTTGGGCGCGACCGAAGGGTTTTCGATCCCGCTTGACGCTGTCGGAGAGAAGCGAGGGAGAGATGCGACGGCAAGACACGGACATGCGACCATCACGGAGTACCACGGCCCTGCTGCCCTTCAGGAAAGGGACAGTGAGGACTTTCTAGGTCGAAAGTAGTGACCGAAAGTAGAGCCAATTCTGGGGTGCAGTTTCTTTATCTTTCTGTCCGTGATGCATGATGTTTTCCCTTTTCCTCATCACTTCTGGTACCCACGCAGGTCCTACCAGTTTCTGCAGTTTTTGGGGGGTACCGAGCTCATCCACTTCTGTGCTTCTCACACCCGCTTCCGAACCACATGGCCTGGACACGGCCCTCGGGTCGTCCCGAGCGGTATGCGAGACATGTGTGTCAGTCAGGACATGCCAAACCTTTTTGATCACATGATGAGACAAACCTTTTTGAGTTCCTCCTTACCACATGGGGATGGGTCAAAACCCGGAGCCCCAACACCACGTCACCAGTTTCTGATACCAGTAAGAACAGGGGAAGACAAACAATGACAAACCGCCGGAAGGTATGCAGCAATGTGGGGCAAGTGAAGTGGCGAGAGCTCTCGGCTTCTCTTTGGGATCAGGTGACTTTCAGCGCAAGCCCAGTTGGAGAGCATTGGCGATAGAGATGCTTGTTGGTCAAAGAACACAGTCCTCAGGAAAAATCGATACATCGTGTATACATCTAGATACTAACAACATCCCTACGCCCCTAGATCTCGCTACTTCCGGAAGAAAGGGGAACCTCCTAACAACCTCCTAAGGGTAACTGATCCGGGCGCCACTGCGGTGGATTGGGGCGCCGCTTCGCGATCGGACGCGACGGGCGCCGCAGGTGCGGCGCAGCGATGTGGGGCAGCCGCTGCGTCGCTCTGAGGTGCTGGCCCTCGCGGCGCGGTCCCTTCGCTCCGTTCAGTCGCCGGAGCCGGGTGGGACGAAGAAGGCAAACAGAGTCGATTTTTGGGGGTGATGGTCTAAAAGAGACAAGAGTAAGACAAGAGTCAATCAGAGTGGTCTTGGAATCTGGTTTGAATTTTTGGTTCCGAATGGGGCTCATTGACTCATTTCAAATCTTTCCTCTCAGAATCATTTGCAGGAACCAAGAGATGGAATATCTCAAAAGCCTCGTGTCAAATGGTGTTTGTTAATTCATCAAGAAGATGCAAGAAGCTATGCGGCATGTTTCAAGGACAGTGAGTATATATTATTCAAAGATGCGGAAGGACGGTGCAGGTAGCCTCTGTTTGTGCCACGCTGTCACAGATCTCCTTGGAAGGTCACCGCAGTAGCATGTGGATATGCACCATGGGTGTGGGAAAATGATAGCTTGCAGAGTAAGAGGATTTCGGTGACACGAGGAAGACTCTTAGGGCATGAAGGAGAAAGAAAAAACCACCCATAAGACCTTACTGGGTATGGGACGTGGACCCCTAAGGACCACACCGCAAGGAAGTGGCATGCGGTGAAATCAATCCCATGGGCCCCGCCATATGGATGCGTAGGGTTCAGTCAGGCGCGTCTTAGTCAAGATCGCCGTCTCTTGTGGATCGAAGAAACTGGCAAAAAAGACATCAAACGAGGAAGGACACAAAGATGGGATCCTGCAGATCCCCGGCCTGTCTAAGAGAATGTATTGGTCTTGCAAGGATTACCACAGAAGACAGCCTTGTCTCAGGTCTCTTGGGTTCAGTACTTCAGATACCTCAGTATTTGATCTACCATGATAGACCAGGCAAACATATTCTTCTGTCCTCTAGGTCAAGTAGGGCATCAAATGGGTTTGTACTTTTTTGAACGAGTTCAGTAGGGATGGGATGTTCAACTTAGACAAAGCATACCCTCTGAACATGCTGCTGCTTTAAAGTCTTCACACTGCGCGAAGCATACCTCCGAAGCATACCCTGTAGTCAGCATACCTTCGAAGCATACCCCAGTGTCAAACATCCCGGCCCGGGAATGTTAAACGAGAAAAGGACGTTACACACCCGAAGGCCAGGGCTGCCCAGAAAGAATATGAAGGTCAAACATCTCCCGGGGACCTTTCTAAGGGTCATCATGGGACCCTGGTTTTTGCGGATCAGATTATACTTTTTACTTTCTATATGTATATATATATATATCAGATGATTTTCTATCAGATGTACTTTCTATATCTTCTTTTTGATGTTTTCTCTTTTTTTTTTCCACAGGCTCCTGGACAGCAAATCCGGAATGATGCCGTCCGAGGTCCGCTGAGGTGAACGACCGCTTTGGCTTCGGCCACCAGCTCGAGGAGGCAAAGTGAGGGGCGACGCCGGCGACGCCTCATGCGGTACCGATACCCCTTGTTGAACTTCTTCGTGTTTCGAGTTTCGACCACCTGCTTTTGCTTTCAACAACGACACCCCCTGACCCTCCGGTCCAGTAAACGTCTTCCCCTTCCGTCAAAAAGTATCAACGACGTCACTCTCATCGGGCCCTTGGTGTCCATCCCGTCATCCCGTCATCCCGCGGCACTTCTCAGGTCTGCTGGATAGGACTCCTGACTCTTCAGTTCTGGGAGCTCGTGATGAAGTTCCCGCTGCTGCACACCGCAGATCTCCAGGACGACTCGCTTCGACATGCGAAAAGGGCGCGGAGGGCGGCGATGAAAGATGCTGCGGGGGGGGGTTCTTGGGTGGTTCAGGGGAAAGAAGCGACCAGTTTTCCCCGGTCTAAGAATGTAGTAGAGATCATATACAAATGTATTGCATATTATATGCACCTTTTCACTGTCATGCAACTGATGTTGCCAAACTGTTACAGAATCAAACACCTGCCCCCTCTCAGCTGGCCGGTTCTACACCATCGTTTAGCTCAGCTGCTTCTGCTATAGCTGCCATGATCAAGTGTTCATCTCAGAAAATGCAAGCCTCAAAAGCCCTGGACCGGCAAATCAGATCAAAACTGACACATCCATCCTCACGGTAAGACCCCTTTGCCATCCTTTTCCATCCTTTGCCCTATCCCTGCACTCATTTGCCGCCACCACGACACTCGTCCCACCAGGGTGAGTGGGCGCTGCTGTCGAGCGCGGACTGGTCCCTGGTTTTGCTGACGGACTTTCCAATCTTTGGACTACTGCGCCAAGTCCAAGCGTCGGTGAACTCCTGTCTTTTGGCCAAACCAGATCATGGCGCACAGGAAGCACCTAGTAGCGTCCTTGCTACAAGTGGATCTACACCAACCCGCGTCGGTTTTTCTACCTTGCGTCACTCCGTGGGGTGATGCGCTTCCAGTCATCACTTTACTATACTCTGCTTATGAGGATCTCAACCAGACATTCCTTGAACGCACTCGCTCCACGAAAGTGGGTCCTTAATTCAGGTCTGCAAGCACACCAGGAGATGGTGGGCCATGGATGTTGTTCTTCGTCACAAAAAAGACAGCCCGGAGGAATCGTTGCCCAGGTGACATGAAATCTTCTGACCGGTGCGACTCGTAGGGAATCAGGGAATGAGCCCCCAATAGAGATTCTATTGGATCCATTCCCTCATTCCCTGCGAGTCGCACCAGTCAGTCTTGTTAGCTTCGCTTCTGATTCCTTTGGATCGAAACCATGTCCGAACACGACGAAAGCCCACCGCGGTTTCCCGAGGCGAGGCGTCGACACAACGCCCCGCGGAACGCCTGGTCAGTGGTGGTCCCCGCCGATGTCCCTTGCCGCGATGCGACCTACTGGATGACGATGTGGAGGTGGGATGAGTAGGATGTGACAATGGAGCTGCTTGGATCTGCTTGGGGGACACGTTCTGCGTTTCCGTCCTTTCTTTTTTGAGGTGGAGGTTTTTTGGGACTTCAAGTGCAAAAATGGTTTGATCAGATGGTGTGCTTTGGAGGCTCATTGTCAGCCATTTGGTCGAGATATCAAGTTCTGGCTCGGTCCAATTGTTCCTTTGTGTGGATGACTGAACTGTTCACTAGGTGAGGAAAATCCCCCACTCAAACAATCTCAAACAACAATACAAGTTGTGAGTAGCTTGTCCGGAGTCGCCCGTCATTCTCGTCGCCGTGAGCCAGCTCCTCCGAGTCGTCAAGACGACTCGTCGCGCGCGTCCGCTGATTCAAACCAGTCGTGTCTTCTCCCTGAGCAGGATCAGCAACACTATTTGGATGCTCTCGTGAACTCCGCCCTTGCGGACGAGGCGCTCTACCTGATGAGGCGCTGGCGGGGCGGGTGGGATGGTGAGTGGAAGCGACCTGAATAGTGGTGACCAAAAACCCCATGGAGACCGGGGGAGAAGGGGAAAGGCGTATGATTTTCGGGATCTGTTGGGAAGAGGGGGGAAACAGAATGGAAGAGAGGGCTGACGAAAAAAGCCACCGAACACAAGTTGGTCACCAAACGCTGAAGCCCCTCGTGTTGTGGAGCCCTCCGGCCGAACTCCGTGGTCGATTTTCTGAGGAGCTCGAGTCTTCCCCGATGCCCGCTGGGGCAAGCGGCCAACACGCTGGCGCTGGCGTTGGTGGAGGCCGGAGATGGTTGGTGGCCGGAGATGGGCCATCAAGGGCTGCAAAGGAGCGTCTCAGGGGTTGACCGTTGCACGGACGTTCTTTTTCAGCAGAAAATGTTTGTCTCAAGCAACCTGCACAGTTCCCAGTGTTGTCGATGCTTCTAATGATCTACTCCCAAATCCTATGCCATGATATGCCATGATATTTCATGATATTTCTTCTGAGGAGATTAATGAGGGGTGTTTGTTCAGGATACAGCGTGAAAGAACTTAGCCTGGAAGCCGCGTGACTCGGATTACCAGGATACCATGAGCCCAGCAACATGGCCATATACGTAGTGTGTAGCAGCCTTGTGTTGAAGGAGAACGTGTAAACGAAAACAACATCTGAAGGAAGCTCAAGATGAACACAAAAATTCCGCAAGAGCATCCCGTCACAAAGCTATCCACAGCAACAATGGCTCTCTAACAGATGAAGATTGCAAATGCACCGCGATCGAAGGTGCGTGGCCTGCGACAGCAGCAGATCAAACAAAGAGTGCTTCAAAAAAGGACACATGGCCGGCAGCAACAATGATCAACCAGTCAGAGAAGTTGAACAGCCCTTTTTCGCCAATCCCATACGTACCAACGGGTCCCATAAGGTCTCTCAACCTCTCTTGGCAGCCAGCCCCCCAATCAGCCAGCTGGCAGACTTTGCATCTGGCAGAATCAGCCACAAGTATCAGGCAGCTCACGGAATCAGCCCCCCGCAAAAGACAGCGGCTGGCGGAAGAATTTTGCCCCAAATTGCCGGGTAAAATATCGTGTTTTTTTCTAGTTTTTTTCTTGTTCAAGCTTTTCAGGGGTGTTGCTCCGATGGCTGACCATGTCCACTGGTCAAGATTTGAAGTAAGCCAGACATATTCGCAGTCTGAGGTTTACTTATTTTTGGTTTCATTTTTGACACTCCCTACAATTTTGGGATTCCGTTTAGTTTTGGGGTGTTTTATTCAGGAGCCCGATCACTTGTCGGACACCGTTTGGTTGGGTTCGTTGGCCAATGACGCACAAAAGACAAGGTTTGAATTCATGTTCTTGAGGAGAAAGCTTTGAAAGAAAGCAGTTTTTGGTGCAGAGGCCATGACGGGACCACTCGTCCTTGTGATCCAGGTGGGAAAACAATGCAAGTCTCCGCAAAGCTGCTCACACCCAGAGCCGTTTTTGGTTGTCCACCCACGCCAGTTGGTGTGCTGTCTCAGGTCTCCCGCTGGGGTGGCCGCTCCGCTTGGCCCAAGCTGGCCCATTTGGTGTCTAGTGCACAGCAGCAGGTGACGAAGTATTTGGAGGAGACAGGGATACTGGATCGTTTTGGCTGATTTTCGTTTGGGTCTGGTAGTGAACGAAAAGGATCAGATGAGATGCGAGGAGGAGATGCATGGTGAATAGGTTCCGCACGAGGAGATGCATGCGGAACAGTGGCATCCACCCAAATTGCCCCAAAATCATCAGCTTGCCCCAACAAAAACTGGGCCTTGAAACAACACCATGACCCAAGCAACTCCAAACAGAGCCGCTGCCCCCTTGCATCAAAAGAGAGACTGAAGTGGAACATGTTCCAACACGTTCCGCCCGTTGTCGACACCGGGACCACACCGGAAGAACGACCGGCCCAGGAGCTTCCGAACTTCCCTGCGCGACAGTGCCTGGAAGAACGGACAGTGGGCGGTGGGCTTCCACCGGTCGCGACCGTGCGCGAGGGACGAGGTAAGCAAAGCGTTCTTTTTCGAAAGTGAGGACCATTTGTTCTTTTTTGAGTGATGTTGGACATTCCAAAGCTACTGTATCTGTAAGCTAAGAATAGCCGCTGGGCGGCAAATGCTTTTGGATTCCAAAGAGGAAAGAAAAGACCTAAGGGCGTGAGGGTGTGGGCACAAGGTCTTTGCCTCAGAGGAAATTGGCCAGTATTGGTCAACGGCCGACAGCAAGAATTGTGGGACGTTCTTTTTTTTTGGTCAAAGTGATGATGGACTGGTGATATTTGGTGATTGGCTATTTCTTGTTCAGATGATACTTTGATACTGACTGCCAGTAGGTGAACCCCCAAACAGCAATATGTTTGTGTCAAATTCCGGAAAAAAGCGGTGCATGCTACAGATTCAATTCACGCTGCACAGACGGAACACCTGTTCCTGTTCTCTGCTTGTAGTGGATCTGACCGAAGACATTCAACCCGGGACAAATGCAGTTGTTTCTCTTTTTCTTGGAGATTTGATGAGATTTTCTTGGACAAGCTTCTGAATACATCTTGCTTCGACCGGCTGGACCACTTTTTTCAATGACCGAAAGCCCCCAGCTAGTTTGATTGGGACGTCAACCTGCTAACCAATGTAGCTTTGAGTCTGGGTGACACTCCAAAGTCGTATGCTTTTCGCATGCCTTGAGTGTCCACTCATGGCATCCCCGCTCCGCGCTGTTCGGCCACTGCCGACCCAGGGACGACCTGGGGCCCACCGACCGCTTCAGCGAGCTGTTGGCGCGGATGAACTGTGGTTCCGTTTTTGGAAGCGGTTCAGATTGTCTGAGAGGAGTAGAGATCTGTAGAGATTTGTGCGGGAAAAAACACACAGGCATGGACACACACTGGTAACACACCTGGAGCTTTTTTGGCCGTGTGGAGTCTATTGAAATGTCCAAGGTGTCATTCTTGCTTACCTGGAGAGATACATTGTCGAAGCGTTCCTGCATCGGGACGGGAAAGGTCTACAGCTGAAGGCATCATTGAACAATCTTGCGTTCAACAAAGGACCTAAAACTTTTGGATTGGAATAGGCGCGGCATGAGTAACAGTCTGGAATTTGGGATGGGTGCAAATGTCCTTCTCCTTATCATCCCCTCGACTATGCACGGTAACAAGGTTTCTCATGTCGCGGAAAACGGACGAAAAGCCTGACAACAAAAGCAATCGTGGCCCTCGCAGCCCAATGAAACAGTGATGGTAGCAAAGCAACCCATGATTTGAGTTGATTTGATGCCCCATGATGGTTTGTCTTCCAGCAATTCTTCCCTCCTTCCGAAATCTTTCCACCGACGTCGCCCCCAGTCCTCGCCAGTCCTCGCGTTGGGAGTTGGTTGGTTTGCTCCATGCACTGCAGGCGAGGGCGGCGTCCGATCGGGACCCGGTGGGAAAGCGATCCCAGAGTGTTTGGGACTGGCATCTTTAATCATAATGACATACCAACACCTTCAAAGGGGTCACCAATGGAAGCCCCTACACCACTAAGGGACCTCCATTGGACACCCCTTGAAGGTCCAGGTACCTTGGGTTGGTTGAAGTCGGGGTTTCCATGCAATATGTTTCAGTCCCAGACAGATCGTGTCTGAGATATGGAATCGATTTTGAGGGTAAACAAGGACAGAGAGACCAGATCGACGGCCGACGTTCGGACCACGGCAGGTGCGCTTGCACAGATCCACCGATCTGCATCGTTCTCGACCTTTGCCGTGGCTGGTTTCAGAGGTGTCATGGCTTTGTCAGCCACCGGTGCCATGGTTGGAACAGCGAACTACAAGCTTTGGCCTCCAAACCTGGACTCGACCAGGATAGGAACGAAGGGAACATCAACAGTGAACATAGACAAAACCGAAAGACACAGAGTAGAGTAGAGCACATGCGATTCTTCGCTGATAAATACAACATAGCTAGCAAGCGCTTTGTCGTTTACACAGCAATGAGTAGCAATGATTCCTTGTTTGACCGTGCTATGACATAACTCAAGTCTTCAAATAGTGTCGCTAAGAAAGAATGCTTTAGTACATTTGTGTCCACAAACAAAATGCGTAGTTCCAAATTGAACAAGCATCAAAGAAGGGAAAGCATTAGGACAGCAGGATCTTGCAAAGCAGGTGTTTTGAATTGGACCAGCCTGCATGATGCCGTTTGGACATCCGGGGAACAGCGCACTGTCCAGGCACCTGCTGGCACGGCAGTGCTGCAGGATGCTGAGAGCCTGCTCGGGGGCTTTGCTGCTTGGAGCATTTGTGTCGACTCACTTTTGGGTGGGACAATGCGGCAATCCCATCTTCACAGGCCCAAGACTGTCAAGAGTTTCTTTTTTGAAGCTCAGGAGCATCCAGCTGACAGCAGGATGATGGCGAATTCATTTCACATGAACATGCAGTCGAACAAGTATGACCGAGTGGAGGGCAAATCCAGCAACGCGTTGTTTTGATGCTTCCTTTTTCACCTGCTGCTCCCAGGTGCGCTACTTGCTGCTGGGCTTGCGTTGGGCAACGGAATAGGTTGAATAGGGCGTGGCGGTGACTATAGGGAGACTGGACTGAACAGAAGAATGGCGTGCACCCTGGACAGACTTGCTCCCAGGACAGCTTCCAGGACAGCTTCCCTCACTGGCGTGCGGCTTCCCTCACAGATCCTCAGTACCTCCTAGGTCCTAGGCTAAGGACGGACGGAGCGCTCCAGAAAAAAGCACAGGAACCAACACTCGAGCACCCAACCAAGTACCATGGAGTACTCCACCAAGCACCCAAACCACCTGGAGTACTCAAACCAAGTACCTCAGATCTTGGGACCCAATTCAGACCAAGACTGGGTGCACACAGGACATGCACACCACATGCCCGACTCATTGGATCGACTCCTGCGGGATCGATGATATTCACAGGGAAGAGTGGGAAAGATGTCCAATCTCAGCTTTCGGGGCGTGCTTGGAAAGGAATGCTCTAAGGACTCTAAGTGGAAGAATAGACAAATGTGGGGCCAGCTCTGATAACTCCAGCAGTTCATGCTTTTCCCGCCGAGGGAGACCTGGCAAAGTTTCTTCCAACAAACCAGCACCGCCCAAAAATCCCAGACCCCAACCGAACATGTCCATCATTACCAATGCTTTCTGGCTTGTCATTCCCCAAACAGATTGGTATGATCCACCCCTCAGAACTTCCTGGCGCTTCCGAAGAGTCGATGCTGAATCCGCCTTCCAGATCGCATCGCTTGGCTCGGCTTCCGGATCGCTCTGCCGCTCCTGCCGCTTGCTCCGCCCTGCCGCGGCCTGCGACCCGAGATCACTGCTCCACAGAATGTGGTGAACCAAGGCTGGCAGAGCTCCGATCCGAGTTCTGGGGCGCGGGCGATGGGGTGGAGCGCCTCACTCGCATGTGGGATGCGGATGGACGCGGGTCACGCGGGCGCGCGCGACGTGGGAAGTGGTGAGAGTAGGGAGTACCCCCAAAGACTGCGAAGATCTGGACTCAGAAAGGTCTGGTTCTGGGTCTGGTTCTTGGCCTTTCACCATATCATTTTGGTGTGGGGGAGGTTCCACTGAACCCCGACATGTGCCGCACCGATGAGAGGTGAGACTCCTCAATCCACTCCAGCGAGGTGAGACTCACTCCAGCGACGCCGACTGGGACCGTCTTCCAGACGTGCGTGCAGACCGGGCGGGGGCCATCTGACATGACTGTAGGTCACAAACGCAACCCAGATTGACCGCTGAAAATGAACAGATTCCTCCAGAAAGGGAGGTCAACCCGCCAGGATTTTGGGGCTCCAGGTTTTGACCCACAGACCAAAATCAGAAAAGCTGGTTGGCAGGTTTTAGTGCCATATCTTTAATGGCTTGTTTTCGTCCTTCCAACTTAGTTCTTTAATCCGCTGTTTTGCCATTCGTTCCTTGAGCGCCTTGAGCGCCGAGGAACCTGGTTCGACACGCGCTGCCAGCAGGCGGATGCCAGATGAGATATTGTGTGGGTTCGTGGGGGAGGCGGTTCTTGAACGAAAACCATCTCGGTTTTGGCCTAGTAAGAGGGAGACTTTCCTTGGTGTGGCTGGTCTAGGTCGAAGTCTATGTCCTCTTTTTTTTACTACACACGCATACAAAATATGACGTGAAAGATCTGAGTATCTCTTTAGAATCCAAAGCACACTACTTGGGTATGCCTAGCTGTGGGTGAGTGTCGGAGTGAGCTGATGGTTGCAACAAGAACTGGCAGCATAGGGAGGACAAGATCAATGACGCGACGCACGAAGAAATCAAGAGCATGACATGACACAGGACTCAGGACACAACACATTGACGCAGGTTTGGTAACGCAGGGTTTTGGCGAATTCAACTTTGCCAAAGGAGCCATGATGGCCATGTAGGGCCCTGGTCGATCGATTTTTCATAAGACGAGGGGTCCACCGAAGACGGACCTGGTTTGAAACACTCGACGAGAAAGGCCGTGGCCAAGGAGAACGTGTCGCAGACTTAGGGGCGAGGCGACTGGATTCTTGGGATGGTGGTTTAATTCTTCGGCACCAAAATTGCCAAACGGGATTTGTATCATATTTATCCCGTGGTGATGGTTTCCAGATCTACTTGTGCGTTTTTCTTGATGTTTCACGATCCAGAACACTTCAGTCTAGCTATCTCTTATGGAGACACATCGGGGATCCAGGAGTTGTAATAGTTATGCCACACACACACAAAGACAAGCCCATCAACATCAGCTAAAAAATCTATCAAGATAGAAGGCCCTCAGGGTGGCCCTCAGTAGGTGAAATCTACTACGTAGGACCACTTGATCTTCGACCTCTCCTTTCTTGGCTAGTGCTATCTAGTGCTGTAGGGCATCCTGCTGCTAGTGAGTTGGGGTACTGTAAGTCAATGGGTCGGTCTGTACGGACAGAAAAAAACCCGCAGGTGATCACAGGACACACATGGACACGAGATTGCCCAAAGGGTTGGCCTTCGATATAGACGGACTTCTTCTAGGTCTTTGTGGACATCGGAGCCTTCTGCTGCTAGCTCAGGGAGGGTTGAAAAGTGCTGACTGCTTACGTGAGTTTTAGTCACCTGTCTTGAAGTTGCGTGCAGATCAATTGTATAGTTATTTGAAGTGCTGAGCAGGGCTTTGGCAGAGCTTGACTGGTGGCCGGATAAACCCGATGGTTTCAGAGGTCGAACAACGGCACAAGAAACACCGACGTTTGTTCGCTGCAGACCGCCTGTTTGTCAGTACGTGGGATTGAAATGGATTGAAGTACTAATAGATTGAAGATGATTGAAGTCATTTCTCCACCTTGATTCATTCGCTATGACATAGCTTTTCAGGGTCCCTTCCCAAGGGTCCACATCCAGATCTTTCGAGCCGGCGCCGCCGACTCCATCGCCGAGGCCATGCACATGAGTGCCTGAGCCGACAGCTCTTAAGCGAGGTGGCCAGGGATCAACATGGTGTGGACCTTGGCAGAATCTCTGAGGTGACGCACAGTTTCAGAAGCACATAGATACTCTAGTTTGGTGGCATTTTTGTCTTTTTTCTTTTGTTGCATGCTGTGAGGCCGAGGCCAAAACACTTTCACGAGTGTCCCGTCCCCGTTCCAGGTCGTGTAAGAAAAAGGCATTCCAGGTATTCCACAGACAGCATCTTGTGCTTTCTCCGTCCATGAGTGGCCACATTTGGTCCTTCGACCGCCGACCCAACTCGCTCGCCCCCCGTCGCGCCGCCGTCGCTGCCCGTCGCGAGACGCGAGGCCGCATCCAAGTCTTTGCCTTCGAGCCGAACCGGCGAAACTTCCTTCGCACTCAGGCGGTGTGAAAAGGGTATCATTGGGGGTTCATGAGCGTTTGTTAAATTCCTTTTCCAGGCCACTAAGGTTGGACAGCTAGGGGGTGAAGATGTCGAAGATTCCAGTGACGATGTTGTACAATGTAAACAAGAGAAGTTGGTGGCTTCACTCTTTATTTCTAGCACTCTAGATGTTTGTGTTTAGATTGACGACTGTGTGTTATATAACTTTACACTCGATTCAAGTCGGATGAGCATCACTGAGTGGTGTCACGGATGCAGAGTTGTGGACCATTTGGGCCCAATCTGTCCTTGGATGCCTTAGTGCACCAAGTGGAAAAGGAGCACTGGTTGCATTCCTGGCCAGCCCATTCGATCATGTTCAGCCACTTAGAGGACAAGGTGGATACCGGTTTTGACACACACACACACACAGGTTGACACTTATTTGCCCACTACCCAGAAAACATTGTCTTCAGTCAAACATCTATAGTGAAATGTACTGAATAGGTTCCAAGACCCAGTTCGCACCAGTTTCGCCGCCAGGCCCAACTCACGCGCTTGCCACGCCGCTGGCAACGGCACTTGCACCTGCGCCGGGCGGCTGCAGGGAACCACAGCAGTGAGGCTGTGGACTTGGAGAGCAGTGGCGACGAACAGCTGGCTGGGTGGGCTGTCTTCTTGAATGATGGAACGGTACCAACTTTGTTGATCTATGCCTTTCTTGTTGAGTTGAAGGTCATATCGAGTTCATCAAGAATTTTCATGGCAAGTCGACAATTCTACTAGTAGGTAGATAGGAGAGAGAGAGAGAGGGATAGAGAGAGAGAGGGATAGAGAGAGAGAGGGATAGAGAGAGAGAGAGAGGGATAGAGAGAGAGGGATAGAGATAGAGAGAGGGATAGAGAGAGAGAGGGATAGAGAGAGAGAGAGAGAGTAGCTAAAGGCAACTCAAAAAACAACCAACCAGATGTGACTCATCAGGCCTGGCTACTTCCACCTTCCACCTTCCATCCTCAACCCCTTCCATCCTCCGATTGGCACCGATGTGCCAAGCCGAGCACCGGCACAGCCTGAAGAGGAGTGGTTTTCGGAGTGGGGCCCAAACGGTTACAGTAGAGGGTTCGAGTTGGCGTCACAACGGCAGGATAGAGGCGATGGAGGGTGGGTGGGTTTGTCTCCTCAACCTTGATGACCTGATAAAAATCAGGAAACTCGATGTGACTCGACATCACAAGTCTCTGGGAAGCAATTCGACACATCATTGTGGGGTATTTGTGTGCTGGGACACTGGGAATCAGGGATTTGGATTGCAGTATGTTTGCTGGGGTTTGAACATACTTGCTTTAGGGACTTTGAAGAACAATTCTGAGCCCTCAGCTATTCAGCTATATTTATCACAATCACTGCAGATGCTGAAGAATTCCTCGTTTACATGGCCACCACAACCCAAATCTGAACCTGGTTTTGCTTAGGGCTTTGGGTGACATATGAATTATCCCGGTCCCAGTGTTTTTAATCCTCTTTTTCACCATGGCTGTTTTTCACCCAAAACTATGAGTTTGCGATGGTTTTCCGGTCGATTTTCCCAAAAAACACTCCTGGAACAAAAAACCTCGGTCAAGCTCGCTCGACCGAGCTCCTTCGGCCGAGCAGATCGTTCGGCTCGGCGCCAGGCCTGGCTCCATGGCTCCGGCCCCAAGGCCTCCCTGAAGGCGCCCTGCGCTCCGAGCCCGGTGCGGTCACCATGACGTTGGTCGATTGCAGGGTGACCTCGCCGGAATAGTAAGTAAGGTATAGTAAGGCATCGTAGGCATAGTAATGTCCGGAAGATGCAAGGCATAGGCATAGTAGGGGAACTTATAGCTTTCCGGCTTCTGGCCACTTGGGCGAGGGCATGGGTCGGATTTGTCTTGGTTGTGCACATGTGTTTTCCTTCTGATGATCATCCCCATCTTAGATATGAGCCCAGGAAGCACATGGCAATCTTGCATGGAAAGCCAAGGGAATGTAAGCCAATGCCAAATATTCTGTCGATGCTGAGGCACAGACTGACAAAATTGCATTGGCCCCCATTCTATCATGTCCGATGTGTTTGTCAGCGCATAATCACTGAGGACCCTTATTACGACCTTCATGGTCCAATGGTAATCTCAACATGAGTGCTCTTCTCCCTGTTTGCGATTTCTTTCAATACGGTTCATGATCTACCCATCATGAGGTGTTTGCATAAAATAGGTGAGTCAGGCAGTTGGGGGAGGTACTTGAGACTCTGAACAAAAAGCTTCTATCCTTTTCAGAGTAGACCTACTGTTTATCCAAAAAGATAGAGTGCACCTGTTGGTTAAAGGGCTTAGTCAGTTGGTCAGTTGACAGGTGCAGTGCTGTGATTCCTGGCACGCTGTGATTCACCTGTCAGGCAGGTGCATACGGTCAGGTCCTGAGAGCGATGAGAAGCGAAAGGTGGATATGAGGGTCATCAGTCATCAGTCATTCGGAATGAGTGCGTCAGTGCTTGCGTCCCAGATTTACAAGCATCAGCAAAAAGTAGTTCAACAATGCATCGCTGCTCTTGACTCCATTGGATCTACTTGACTCCATTGGAACTACTTGTGTTGGAACTACGTAGGTCATTTTTGCGGGTTTCGGTCCGCTGTGAAAGGTCCGCCTCATCGGCCCGTTCGGCTCACTCCGCCATTCACTGTCAACCACAACAGGGACATGACAGATCAAGACCGACTCACGGAGGGTAGACGGAGGGTAGACCTTCATGACAATCCAGGACTGATGAAGAAGCTCTTGGGAGAGCTCTTGGGAGTACCATAAACATCCGATTCATCGGGGGGCTCCCATCACTACCGTAGTCTCAGGGGAACTGCAAAGACGATGTGAATGGAACTGCCTATCAGTTGGACTGCCGTGCGCAAGAAGAGAGACACATCAGGAGCACCAGAGCAAATTTAACCTCTAGCGCAGTGATCTCCAGATATGATCCCCATCCCAAATGGACGAACTGGTGGAAAGATGTATCTCACATACCCGTAAAGTAGTGCAGTGATTTCCACCATAACAGGTGCGTGTTGTGCAGGTGATGAATTTCTTGCATTTTACACAACAGGTTCGTGGATTTATCAGACCATCCAATTCCAGTTCCAGAACCATGAAATTCTATATAGTAGCATGTTCCTTGTTCTTCCTCTTTTTCTTCCTCACAGAGCGCCGGCGGTCGTGGACCTTTGAACTCTCTCAGGTGGTCTTCTTTGGCGCCAACTGGGCGAGGGCCGCGTGCAGAGCTCCAGCGACGAACACACGGAGCGGGTCCCAGTGAAGCCCTTAAGCGCTCTGCTGCAGGCACGCAGACCGCGGAATCTAGTACTTTTTCTACAGTGGTTTGAGAATAGATGGTAGAAACCCAAAGATGTCTTTTATATGGGCCGGGTCCATATCAACCGCCTAGCTTGGGGATTGCGTCATCTACTTTGAAATCACTGTATTTGGAACAGCCGGCCAGTCACTGGATGAATATGTCGAAAATTGCTTGGTGGGGCCAAGAAGTGACGATGGGATAAAAAAGGCCCTAAAGAAATTATGAACATAGGGGTGCCTATTGGAGGCTAGGGGTGCCCATTATCCACTCACTTAGGGACCAAACACCACCCCTTTGTGACCCCTGTCATGCACAAGTGACATGTGTTTCTTTTGACCTATGTGCCGTGGACAGGACGGTCCATGCGCAGCTTGCGTTTCTTCCATCTTCACCACCTGCAACCCAGCTGCACCTGGAGGTCTCTTCCGGCCTCGCAGGTCTCTTCGATCGAGCTGCTGAAGATCGACGTGGAGGGAAGTGAGTTGGAGGCGACCCCGGTCACCACGACACGGTGCGTCGTGGGCACCCTCAGTGCGCCGTGGCTGTTGGAGGTTGGTGGTGGAGTTCGTGTCTTCCGTAGTGCTTTGTGGTTTGTTTCTTCCGTAGGGAAAAGATGGAAAAGCGTAATTAGTGCAACTTGTCCTCTAAACTGGAGTGCAACGAAATCATGGGCTTTTCATTTGTCCAGGCTTTCTAGGTGTTGAAGAATCACTAAAAAGAGAAGCACCAAGCTGGTAGCTTCAATTATATACTCGCACAAATTTGCTATTGTACACATGTATGGAACAAGTAATAGATTAATCAATTAAGATACACACAGTCCATATATAGAGTTCTTTTCTTTTTCAATACTACTCTGGTGAAATTTAACACAGAACCTAATGCCCAAACGACAGAAAGCTAACTTGTGAGGGCCACCGAAGCACCGAACCGTCGACACACAGAACGGAACAGGACCATTTGCGCCATCACGGTGGGTGTTCCCTTCATATTTTGGTGCAACCCTATATGAATCCCAGTGTTCCGGCGCCAGCAGCTGGGCCAAGCCGCTATGTCAAGCCTGTGTAATGAAAAGCCTTTTGGGTTGAAGTGTGCCTCTTTGCCCTTGGCCAATGGCCTAACTTCTCGTAACTCCTTTGCTTTCAGCTTTTCTCCATGTGTAGTGGTTCCTCTTCTATTGGGGTCGTGTGGCTTCAGCATGGTTTTCACACCCAAGACACCACCCCGCGATTTTCATCGCGCCACCCACGGTTCTCTACGGCGGGCCAGGTGTTGGAGGGCGCCTGGCCGCTGATCGTCCAAGAGCGGGTGACCAGCATCATCTTGGAGCTTCGGAGAGTGAACGGGGTTGACCAGCAACAGGGTGAGGTTGGATCTCGATGAAGGAACCTAGAGGGGATTTCTCTGAACGTCCTGGAATTGCACCTTCTGAGGTGACGAACATCACGATTTCATCATCTCTCATAGGAGCAAGATCGAGGGAAACGAGCGATTCACCATCCTTAAGCATCAGGTGGGTGCTGTAGTGCATCCCGGTTCAACTGAAGGAGGAGTGACTCACAACTCACAACCAGATACGGTGATGAACTAAACCTTGGCACAACAGTCAGGCAGTTTGGTCCAAGATAGCAGGACCCAAACTCAAGCAGTGGAAGGAACATGTCCCGAACATTTGAGCTACGTAACAGGCCCTTGAATTGCATGTTTGCATGATCTTCCTCTTTAGGGAGACTAGTTGGATATACGTGGAAATCCTTTCTTTGGTCCCTCCCTTAAGTTCCTAGAGGATCTCTTGCTTGGCCTCTTGGACAAGTCATGCATATGTTGTGGATTGAAGAGGTGGTTCTTTGTGCCATTCCAAGGCCATTCGAAGTGGACCACCCTTCTATAGCCTGAAAAGGACTTGTGGTCATAGAAGTGCACTATTGGACCTGCACATGGAACATCAATGAACATGAATTATTATATATATACACATATAAACATATTTGAATAATGAACTAACTCTGTTGGTTGGAAAGGGACTACTTATGCTGGGGCCATCATGAGTGGAAGGGTTGAAGAAACTCTCATGTAAATCATGCGGAGGCACGCACTGTGTCATTCTATGCATTTACGTATGCATGCTATGCTATGTAATGTAATGTAATGGTGTGGTATGGCATGGTGTGGTATGGTATGGTATGTATTAATGTATATGTATGTATTAATGTGTATATATGTATTAATGTAATGTAATGTAATGTAGTGTAATGTAATGTAATGTAATGCAATGCAATATGTGTATGTAATGTAATGTAATGTAATGTAATGTACTGTACTGTACTGTACCGTACCGTACCGTACCGTACCGTACCGTACCGTACCGTATGTATGTATGTATGTATGTATGTATGTATGTGTAAACCTACATGCTTTTGTTCTGTGTCAAGTCAAGCTGTTTTTCCCCACCTGCCAGGTGAGGGTTGTTAGATTTTATCGCAGCTGTTCTGCCTCCGCCTCCGCCTCCCCCTCCGCCTCCGCCTCCGCCTCCGCCTCCGCCGCCTCCTCGTCCTCCTCCTTCCTCCTTCCTCCTTGCTTCCTTCCTCGCCAATCTGTTTCGCCGATCTTGTCTGGCCAGCTCCGGATCGCAGTGTGCACCCCTGGACCTCAACCGCAAGGATCCCCTCGCAGTGTGCATCCCTGGACCTCAACCGCAAGGATCCGATCGCAGTGTGCACGCCTGGACCTCAACCGCAAGGATCCGATCGCAGTGTGCACCGCTGGACCTCAACCGCAAGGATCCGATCGCAGTGTGCACCGCTGGACCTCAACC